GTTAAAGAGGCTAAATAAGTTTAAAAATCAGGAAACATTATTCATAAAACATGTGGAACACAAGGCTTGGAGGGTTGTAATCCAAAAATAAAAGAAAAAGAAAAGGATGAGAGCACAAGTAACAAATTTCCTTAAAATAGCTCCCAAATCAATTGCACCTTCCACCAACACTTCACTTCTCTCCACTACTACAGTAGCGCAATTCAATGAAGAAATATATACTGGAGAATGACGATTAAAATACGACATGTCGAATGAGATATAATTATAAATTAAGGGAATCCAGTTACTGAAAGAAATGAACACGTTTTCTCTTGCTTGTCAATTCGACCAGGTTCGCCAGGAATTCAGCACAATTCTTGTTGAACTTCCCAAAGTGTTCATAGCGGATTACGGCCGATATAATCTTACCACTTTTGAATATGCGAAAAGAACTCCTTCAGAAATGGAACTCACAAAAATAGAGTGAACTCAAAGAGAAAAAATAACTTTTAAAAAAATAGAGAATGATAGTAAACTTACGAATGGCGTAATGTCGACGTTGCAGCGAAGAAGCACATCATGCCAGCCAGACAAACCATGAATACTCCACCTCCAAGCGAAACATCGCAATCCTGCCTGACACGTGCTACTTCGCATTGAGCAATGAGAGCTACCACACAAACGCATAACGTTAGGAGCACTAAAAATAGTAATTCCGGGGCAAAGGTACAAACGAAACCAAATGACTCACTGTTGCACATTTCGAAAATTGTATTCCTCTTTAACCACTGTAAAAATCCGCTAGGCGGTGGAAGAAGATTCATTATAAATGACAATGACGATGTGAGCGCGATTACAAAACACAACGCGATTAAAACGTAGAATAGATTAGCCACCATTGGAGTTACGCAGTCCAGTAGCACTAAAAAGAAAATTCTTATAAGACAGACAGACATCTTTTATGAGTAACTTATAAAAAGTGAGATGTTTTGCAGGATAAGTAAACCAATATACTAACCACGTTCGCTAGAATGAAAGGCGATGTGGGTCTTCCCTTTGTTATCAAGGAAACCGCCGAAGCGAGCCGGGCGCCAAAAATCTCGACATCCTAGAAAAGCTCTCTTAGGACCTTTAGTTTTAGAAACTGTTCGCAAGTCATTCTAAGAATCTTTTCAGTTGGCGACTGCATCCAGAAACCGAGCAGTT